AGTTTTTGAGAATCCACCTTGGTTACCTTTAAGTTGTTGTCATATAACTGTAAATACAAGCAACATTTTCAACCTTTTCATATGCTTTTGTTATAATGTTATAATCTGGCTATTATGTCAACACATATGCTTCCAGTCGTGCGATGTTTATTCAGGTCATTATAGTTAAAAAAAAGGAAAACTGAAAAGAAAATGTACATGCACTGTGTTCACAATTCACCCAGCTGTTTACCAGGGATTCTCCTTATTTGGTCGTTGTCTCCTCTTTCTCCTTTGGGTTTGATAATCAGACAGGTCTGCTGAAGCCCCCATTGTCTGCACACACTGTCAACGTGACTCTTATACATATGAGAGCGGCTTAGCATTGTGAATGCAGCTCTGCTTTCTGGAGGTTGACCTTTTTCCATGGATTAATAGGTTTTATGCTGGCAGCATTAATAAACAATTTCTTCGTTTCCACAGTGGGATAGTGAGCAGTCACTCTGCATATTAATGCGCGCCCCCCTCCCCGTATGAGCCTCCTCTCACCTACTTTTAGGCAGTCATGCTCAGAAATCACAACCCATTTAGTGATTTTTTTTGTTTTCATTTCCGAGTGACTCTCTTTTCTCTCGTTTTTTAATGCCTATTCACTCTTTTTCAGGGCTTTTATTTTAAAACTCCCACTCTCTCCATCTGTCTGTATCCATTATGCTTCTTTTTACATGTTATTTTTCTGTAGAAAATGTATTCCTTTTTTTAAATTCCCAGGATCTGCCCCTTCCACTCAACCACACACCTTTTTCTCTCTTAGCCAAGCTGTTCATTTTTGCTGTGCCTTCACTTGACTGTTCATCTCTGCTTTATTTCGGCCACCGTCTTTGTGCTTTGGTGACTAGGGCTGATTATGTGGGGCTGAGCAGTTTTGGCCCTTACTCTGTCTGTGGCCAAGGTCAATTATGGCCTTTCCTTTCAGAACAGGGAGCCACTGATGTAGAGCGCCAGGCGGGGAGATCGAGTGGGAAGAAAATCAAGCGTTTGGTGCCTCAAAAATGATTCGTTTTGCCACTGGTGTGAAAGTGAGTGCTGTGTCTGAGTCTCACTCTCCTTTTTCTTCTGCAATGTCATCCATATTTTTACAAAATATTAGTTTGAGGTTGGATAGAATTATACAGCTACATGTAGCAGTAATACCGCCATACACCTTTCCTCTAATCGTCTACTCCTTTGAAATTATCATATAACAAACTACACTTATTAATGATATTACAACATAGTACACATGTGCTGTCATTATACATTGTCATGGCTCACATAAAGATCAGATTTAGCAGATCAGCATGTGTGTGACATTTATGTTCGACATTTGACAACATTGAATTTCAAGGTAACTATGAAGATGGTTCATTAAATCATTTTGTCACTTTGAGCACCCGCATTCACATTACATGTCGTTATTTGATCCTCTCATATAAAAGTATTAATTTGCGCAGCCTTAAGGCAAATAACTGCTACAGACAATAGCACGTTTACACAATTTGGGGAAGGCCCTTTCCTGTCTTTTTGATATAGGTGCAATATTTGGTTGCTCTTATAGTCTGTTTTGGTGTACACATACTTTTGGCCATGTTGTGTATAATCAGAGTAAAAGAAATTATTATATAATACAGATTATCAACCATTTCTGATATGAGTGAAGAATTATTGATCACAAATGAGACCAAAGGAACGCGCTTTCCAGTCGGAAAGGAAGAACACGATAAAAGCACTGGGCTTGTCATTAATATTTGACACACTTAAAATGCAATCAACAAACGCTGTGCCTGACCTCTGGCCTTCAAATCAAATTAATTATGGTGACTGATGGTGTTACATTTCTGCTCAGTATCAAGCAGCATCCACAAACAAACCACCTCCACTTGCTCCGCCTCTGTAAACAAAGAGAGACTATTTGTGCGTCTATGTGAAGGCGTTTGATTAGCCACAATTATGGCCTTGGCACCAGCTTGTATGATTACTTTGACTGGAGGCTGTTTCGTGTGTGCCATACAAGTAATCAGTGCTGGGCTAAACCTGAACCAGCACTGAAATGTTCCGTCTAATTACAGCAGCCAACCAACCTGCGTTGCGGCTCACCTGATGAGGGAAAAAGTAGAAATAATTACCTAATTGAAGCAACTCAGGGAACCATGAAGGTAAAACTGTTCGCCTCCTAATCGGCTCAGCGACAGGGTTTGCTTCAGCATGAAAAGAGCATGTTTGAACATTCTTTCAGAGAACAAAGGTTATTGGGTTTAACAAATGAAGCAATGCAGTGAAGACATTTGTTCTGTGTTCAAGTTAGTGTTTTTTGTTTTTGTTTGTTATTTGGGATGTATTAAGTGGTATGCGCTGACGCCTGTCCAGACAGGACACAGACCTCCCTTACTGACAACTTGGACATAATAAGCAGCCATTTGATGAACTGCTGCTTGCCACTGACATGCAATAAATCCTAATATGCACGACAAAATGAATAGCGATGGGGTCGAGCTTGTGCATCCATCCAGGGAGAATGTTTATTTATTTGATATTAAACATGCCAGACAGCCTCGTGCTCAGGGTTTTACCATGTAAGCCTCCCTTTTTATTGCTTCAGCCTGCAGTGTGTTTCTGTTCTGCTCAGCTGCTGTGGTCTGCTATGGAAGCAGCTTTAATAGTTTTGATCTTAATCCCTACATTTGCCACTAGAATAGTCTGAAGTCAATTCTACTGTGTAATGTAATAGCTGGCAAGACAGACCAAAGTCTGCACGTAGGATTTCCCAACACATATCTCACATAACAGATTATACTCTGACCTCTCAATGCATGCACTGACAGTTTTGACTGTTTCTCACTGTAATTGCATTTTGTGACATCTCAGCTGATGCTGTTGTTATGCATCATGCATTTGTGCCTTCCACTCCGAAATGCCCACGAGTCCTCAATCAAGGCTAGAGAGGACACTTAAAATACAGGCGGGTGCTTCTCAGGATCATTAAGGTCATCCCAAGTGTCTCTCCGCTTTTTCCTGCTCAGCTCTGCTTTCAGCTGAATATTGTCTGGAGGATAAGCTCTGACAGGAGTAATTCACCAAAGGGCTAATTACACCATAATCATGACATGGTGTGTCCTGTCTTCGAAATTGAGCATTTAACCCATAAATAACATCATGTGCAGCTACAGTACAGGAACTGAAGAAGCCTCTTGGTAAGAGATGAAACACCTTTATGTATCTTCAATCAAGTGCAGTTGCCTTTGATTTAACCCCCCCTTGGATAACTATGACCTGGATGAATCTTCACAGACATACTACAGTACAGAAGCTTTATGAAGAGAGAGACTCACCATAGTAACTTTAATCAGATATACATCATAAAATCATATAAACTCTGGTGAAACATGGACAGAGAGCTATTAAGAATTAAAATAATGTGAAATTTTTCTTTAGGGATGGCAATGTCAGAATTTGGTCCAGACTGGAATATCACAAATGAATCCTACTGGCTTTGGTGATCCCCTACTTTTCATCTAGTGCCACCAACAGGTCAAAGTTTTTTATTTATCCTTTAAAAGATATAAAATCTTTTACGTTGATGATATCTAATATATGGATTGGAACTAAACATTCTTAAACATTCTCAGTTAAAAAATGCAAAAAAATGATATCTCCATCAGCCTAAGCTGGACCTGCATAGTGTCCATAGTGCTAATTAGCAAATGCCAACACACTAAACTAAAATGGTAAACATTATACGTGCTCAACATGAGCATGTTAACGCTATCAATGTGAGCATGCTGAGTTTAGAATTTAGAGCAAAGCACTGGCAGTGGTACAGAAACATAAAGTTTTTTTTCTCAGAATTTTCATTCATTAGAGATCCGATTATGTTTATTTATTTTCATTTAACACGGACATTAATTTGTAGTGTACTGTAGATTGGAAGATGATAGATACAAAAATTAAATTGAACAATTCCTTATTTTTGCTCCCTCAAGAATCTTCTTCAAGTCTCCAGACCCTGACACTGAGAACTTATGGCAGTATGGGATATATCAAAGGATTTTTACATAATACTGCCAGTAGTTCTATGAGCCAGATTAATGTCATTTCTCACAACAGATGTGGTGAAACTCTCTATTGTGAAGAGTGCGCTTTGATTAATACACCCTGATGAATGCCTTATTTTTAGCCCGGCAGGGCGGATAATGTGGAATTACTTTTCATCACTCGTCTGGTCGGAGATGAATGGGCAACAGCAAAGAGAGATGCGTTGCCTCTGTGTTCATTCGTCATTACCAGATTGAGGTGTGAAGGATGGAGGAGTCACTTGATTAGTTATATCATTATTCGTACAAAGCTCAGAAGGCAGTCATAGACAAATTGCTAATAGAAGATGTAGTATTTGGGATTTTTGATTTTGGGTTTTACCAATTAAAAACAAATGAGGTATAAGCTAGGAGTGTCTGGAGGGAAAAAGTGCTGATATCTCCGATGCTGAGGTGCTGGGGTCAATGCCTAACAATATATACTTTCTGCCGGGAACATGAGCTAATTGACTAAACGAGTACTCTTACATCTGATGTCAAGGTTAAGGCCAAGGAGAGAATGAGAGATGCATTTCATCAGAGCAGGTCATTAGACTCAGCTTAAACCAGATATGATTACAGAAAGATAGACTCTGCAGCGCTCATCCATTTCATGACAGGTGGAAAGTATGAAGCCCATTTCACCTGGCGAGGCAGTTTCTGTGCCTGCCATAACATTGTTCTATACATTGTGTGTGGAATAAAGGTGGCATTTGTCCTCGTGACCTCCATAAATGTTTAAATATAAATTATGAATTTGACATCCGTTTTATCCTTACATAACACAAATCATGAATTATTCATTTGAGTTCACTGGTGTGTCTTCCACATGTAATTTTCAAATGAAATGCGTTTTTGGGTTGAAAGACCCTGTTCTTATGATCTGCCTGGTGCTTTCGTCTGTCTCTGCAGGAACTCTTTACAGCAGAGTGCAAGTTCAAAGAGTCGGTGTTTGAGAACTACTATGTGATCTACTCGTCCATGTTGTACAGACAACAGGAGTCAGGAAGAGCTTGGTTCCTAGGGCTCAATAAGGAGGGCCAAGCCATGAAGGGGAACCGAGTGAAAAAAACAAAACCAGCTGCTCACTTCCTGCCCAAGCCATTAGAAGGTACGTACTGTAATAGACACTCAGGAATTGAAATCAAATAGCATTTTCAAGTTGCACAGAGGGTTAGGGTTAGCCAACTTTTAGATTATATTATATATATTTGATGTGGTAGGTATAGTTAACCTCTAGGGCTGATTTTTGGTTTTATTTTTCAAATAAATAAAAAAAGGTCTGGGAATTTATCATTATATATTTACAGGATATTTTTCAGGATAGGTGTGGTGGTATTCTATATTTTAGTTTTTGTCAACAACTTCCATGAAAAGACCAAAACCAGCAACGAAGTGAATCAGTATCAATGATTATGTAGCCAAAGCCTGATAGATCTTATTCATCTGTGCCAAAGAGCTCCATTGTTTTCCAAAAAAGGTTAAAAACTCATCAATGAGCCACATAGTTGCATTGTGACATGTTCTTTCATTTCGATGAACATGGGCACAGCACATCTGCTGTAAAAAGTCCCAAATAAATGCACTATTTCCTCATGTTTGAGTATATTTTAAACTACAGTGCCTAAAAAACCTAAGTAGACCTTTTTTTTCCAAAGATTTACATCCTCACTAGGAACTAATGGCCTTGGAGCTGCAACAAGAAGTTGGAACAAATTGAGAATTGATTATTTTCATGAGATTTGTTGACATTCAGACAAATACTGAATATTACCAGCTTTATCCTTTTAAAGGGTCAGATTGGCCAAATCACAAAGAACATATTTTCTCAATTTCACATTTATGTGCAGAGGTTTTGAGATATACACTACTTAAAGTTGTGCTGGGTGCACAACCATCATGCTGGGGTGGCAACAGAACTCTCAAAGATGGATTTATCATATTTTAGGCAAAAAAAACTTAAGCTATCTGGTTGGGCAATTCCCATTTTCCCCAGTATTTTTAAAAATTATTCAATATTTTGGGTGAGCTGACCTTAAGAAAAAACAGGTGAAAGTCAGATTTTAACAATACAAGAATTTAAACAGTAAAACAGCTCTCTGTTTTGTTTCATTATATTTTTACTTACTTAGAGGGACTCAAAGAGCAGACGTAGCATTTCTTCCCCATTTTATCTCTCATTTTTTAGAACTTGAAGGGTTTTTTTCAGCTGTCAACATTGCAAGAGACCTTGTTACTGTAAATGGTGTCTTTTTGCAGCAGGAAACATAACATTTAGGTGGATACATAAATCATCTTGATATATTTAGGTTAGATATAGTAAAAACTAAAAACAATGAGCATGACCTTGTTACATTCCATGACAGATGTCACATACTGTAAAACATGGTCCTATCCTTTGTAACGGTACTATAAACTAGGTACTACCAACTATGTGCAATATCAGTTTGACATATTTCTGTATTAATATGCTGATTCACTAGTTTGCTGATATAAGCACACAGTGTAGGAGGAAGGACAGCCGTGTAAGTGCAATATGAAATGTTGACTGTCCAGCAGATGCCACCATCACTCTCGTCAGCCTGATTGCTTCCCATCATTTAAACATGGAATCAAGTTGAAGTGTCCTGTCAAGACAGTAATACAGCTGTAGTCTGTCTAGTGGCTGTAAAGTGCTGGATAACGAGACACTTTTCCCTGTTATGTTGAAGAGCATGTGCTTAGAATCAGCCCGACAAAGACAGAAGCAAGTCAGGATGGTAGGCAAAAAAAATGTGTCAGCTTTTTTCCCCATCTGTAAATTGCAGTAGGTCTTCATCGCAGGTTTTGAGGGATTTTTGTCTGAAAAGGTTTGAAAAAGGAAGCAACACAAGGATTGTTAGGGTATATATGCTCCTCAAATAGTTTTCGACAGGTAAACTCAAAAGGGCAGGAAAGAGGTCGTTGCTCACAGCTTTTTACATGTCTCTCTGATTTCTTTCCATATCCTCTGCTCCTCCAGTTGCCATGTACAGAGAGCCATCGTTGCATGATGTTGGAGAGACAGTGCCCAAGGCGGCAGTACCTCCCAGTAAAAGCACAAGTGAGCCAGCGGTGATGAACGGAGGTAAACCTGTCAGCAAGCCCGACAAGCCCACCACATAGCCACACTTGACCAGTGCCCAGTGTGTGTGTGTGTGTGTGGCGGGGGGGGGGGGGGGGGGTTTGCCGACTGGACTCCAGACCCTCTTCCTCCTTTGGATCAGATCCAGACGAACCTCCCTTCCTTTCCTCTCTTGCTCCTCCTCCCTCTTTCTCTGCCTCGTCCTCCCTTTCTCCAGCTGTCTCAACACAGGTGGATGGATTCTGAGGCGGCTGAGTTTCTCCAGCACAGGAAAGAAGAGGACCTCTGATCATGGAATGCCTTTAGATTCCTCTGAAACTGTGAGAAGTCATGTGAATAACGCTTTTCACAACCACGCTCATGGTACTTTGCTTGCTGGTGGTTCATTCAAGAAACCTTCTCCCTCTCCATAATGCCCTTGCAGCAGAGTCTGTGTACCTTCAGATCTATTTTCTATACCACAGTTCACCAGCTATGTTCTGGGATAGAGACTGTATAGATAGAGTAAATATTTGGACGTCGTCCTCTATTTTTTACGAGTATGTTCCCCTCTCCCTCTCTTTCTATCTCTACTCACACACTTTTCTCTTTGTCAAGTAACCTAGAAAAGATAAAAACATTTTGCAAGGGAGTTGTGTGATTTTCTAAGAAACACATTCACACAGACGTGGCATAAAAAACAAACAATCCAACTTTTCTTCTTGCCTACAACATGCACACACACTTACAGACATACAGAGTTTCTGGGGGAAAATTTAAGATGTGGCTTTTCACAGCCAATAAAAACACACTGGAAGCTGGCAGATAGCTCCTGCAATCATAGTTGATGAAGTGCTAATTATAGCCACTGTAATCAATGCAAGGAGCTCCCTACACACATACAAACACACACACACACACACACGTATAAACAGATGTGTGTGTGGGTGGGAGAGCGCTGTAAGGAATGGTGTATACATATCACTATCTAAGTCCCACCAGCGGTTCAGTCCGCCTTCTCTGGTAAATAGAAAATCTGAAGTCTATTTTTCTTTAATCTTATTTCAGAGCGTGGGCTCTAGGAATATCTCTAGGCCTTGTAGGCCTCTGTCCCTCACTCACTGACTTCTTTGGACGACAAGGCAAGACTTGTGGCTTTGACCCAGATGGTCTATAACTGCAGCACTGGCAGCCATCTTATTGCAGCGTCTACTTAAAGCCAGAAAACAACATGGCTGAAAACCAGTAGGCGACATTTATCCTGGCTGCATCCCTATTTGGTTCAGCAAATTAAAGCATGGGCAAGGTTAATATTGTGTTCACTCTTCTTGCAGCAGTTATACAAGAGATGGCTTATATTGTAACATTTTGACTGTATAAAACTTAGGGAAAATGACTATTAAAATAACTTTTTAAATGAGTAGATATTATTATTATTATTATTATTATTATTATGAACGGATTTGTCTCCTAGCTCAGCATGCAGAGTCCAGTACTGATCATCTTGGCCTATCACGTGCCTGTTTGGACCTTGATTCCCGGCATGCAAAAACAGGTTCCCAGTCCCCACTGGGCCAAAGGTGCCTCACCAACACGATACATCCACATAGAGGACACGTAGCATTATCCACAGAAAAACCACACTCAGATGTATTCATTCTGAAATGACCAAAGCCTTTTTTCATCCCAAGAAGAACTGATTCTTTAAAAAAAAAAGAAAACAAATCTGATTCTCTCTCTGATTCAATTCATCAAAGCTTTCACTGTGATAGCATTTGTTCTGTCCGAAAGAATCAACTCTGCTCAGACCCCCAAAGGTCTTGTCTGATGTCATTTTGGAATGGTACGTATACCTTGAATTAATCACATGCATGTCTTTTCTATAAGGAACAAGGTATGGATATCAATCGTTCTTCACTCTGTGTAAGCTGAAGAGCACTGAAGTTCGGTGTGGGAGTTGAATGGGCATGTTGTAGGCTACAGCACACACACAGCTACTGCACTTTCTGTTTTGCATTTTCATTATGACTGTTAGCAGTTTATCAAAGCTCTACCTGATCAATCAATTTATAAAGTTTGTCTTGCTTTAATGATTTTTCCTAATAGTTTTGTTGGATAAGATTTAGAATAGTAAGTAGATTGTGGCTGCTGTGTGCTGCTAAAACTGCAGCTATATTAAAAGATTTATTTGGTGAATATCATTTTCTGAGTTTATTGGGATTACACATGACCATTTCTTATTACAGCACATCAAAGTACATTAGAATTCAATATTTGTCTGTACAAAGCTGTTAATGCTATAACAAAAATGGCATACTATACACTCACCCACACACACACACAGGAGCTGGAAACCACTGTAGTTGTATTTGGGGCTGATGTTCTGTCCTCATTACACCTTATCATCCTACACTCTTACAAACTCTACATGCTGGGCTGGCTGCTGCTCCAGCCCTGCAGACTAGTTAACTGGCTCCTCCAAGGCTGACTTTATTTTTGTAAATGACCGGTGTGTAAATGTACATGTCTGTTTGGATCTCTGTAGCCACCGTGTTTTGTTTTTTTGTTCTCATTTTCTCTCGTATACGGGTCGTGTGTGATGTCGTCTCCTGATCCCGATCACGTTTGCATTGCACCCCCTCTCTTCAGATGTGTTACAAGAATATTCTAGTAAACTTAGTTTCTTTGTTGCTTCTGTTTTCAACCTCTTATTTTGTATGTTGTCCCATCTGTTGCATGGGGAGAGGATGGAACTGATGAACTGCATGTAGTAGGCTATGTCTATCAAGAACTGTTGGTATGTACCGCTAATTTTACATACATATATGCAACGAGTTTGTCTACACTATACAGTTTGTGTTTGTTGTATACGCATATACAACATATTGAATAAAATATTTATATAAAGGTGTACTGTAATGTCAGTAACATACTTAATGCAATATAGTGTGCAGTATATTATTGCACCTGTCATTTTTGATGGGACAAAGAAAACAGAGGGGTTGGCTAGTTTAAGCATGAAAAAGGCCAAAGTAGAATTTACATTAAATTTTCTTTGTGACTTCTTATCTGTCCTCTTTTTCTTAAGTGGTGACTGAGCTCTTGTGTCAATGCAGCTCTCATCCCCTGATGCCACCTTTTGAAGTGACATGGACATCCAGCATGCCACAACTGAACTATGTATGCCCTCTCTTTGTTTCCTCCACTTAGAATTTAACCTTATCACTAGTATGAGTTGAGTGAGAAACGTCCATCACGGACCTTCAGTACAGTGTGGGTTTCATGACAGATCGTTTGGTTTGATTTTCCGGTGGAGAAGAATAGGCACTATTAAAATGATTTATTTTCAAAAATATATATATATATATACCATTGCAAGTATGCCCATTGGAGTTATGTCATGTTATAACAAATTTGTAACCATGTATGATTAAGGTCTTCGCATTGTTTTCCATGCAAAATGTTGTGTCATGCGGCACATTTAATGTTTTATTATTAAAAAGAAATAAAAACCTCAAACAGTAATCTCTGTCTCGAGCTTTACGAGTGAAACTTCAGTCCAATTTGGGAACAACACACCAATTTGTACCAGTTAAAAACAGACCCACGGTATCCCATGTACTTGAAATAATTTTTCTCTTTCCAACATTTGGTTTTGTCATGTACCTGCATCCTAATACGTGTAGCCATCTGGAATATGTAAGCGTTCCTACATTATATTTAAAAAAAAAAGTTATACATAAAGCTGTTCTGGAAACAAATGTTTACATGGTAATATGTTTGCTTCTTTTTTAGGCCTACCACACCCAGTTTTTATAAGGATAATTCGTAACCAGTATAATAAAAGAATGAATGTTGTTAGTGATATGCAGAATTACATCCATGTTTAGTTTTGTCTTCTCCCTCCTCCTGTGGTTTCTCCAGGCTGTGGTGTTTACCAGGCTGGTGGTGACCATTGATGGAGCTCCTGGTTGCTCCGGGCAGCCAGGCGTCTTGTTTCTAACACACCAGTGTCCTCTCCTCCTCAGTACTCTGCTCCCACCCAGATTTCGCATGCGTTTCCCGTCCAGCCGTCCCAGCACTCACAGCTGCCGCAAATGCACAACCCATTCCCTGTGAGAAGAAAAGCTGTGAATTAAGTGCTGTGCCATCATGGCTGACCTTTAAAAAGGTTCCTCTTTTCACACCCTGCTTCCCTGAGTGCAGCTCTCTGACGGTGGATGGAGGCTGACAACACTGCTCAGGACAATTTGTGGTTAACCACTGCTTTAGCCCACACAGCTTAGGGGAAAACTCTGGTTTAATTAAGATGAATTTTCACCAAGCTCAGACATTCCAAAATCTGACTAGTCCTAAAACTGTGAAATTGATATAGAAAAAAATGTTTTTTAACAACCCATCTGTCTTTTATGTTCAGTAGCTAAGGAAGAAATATTACTGTCAGAAATATCTCGTAAGAGTTCAGGGTGGATTAAAGGAGTGTACTACAATAGACTTCAACACAAGAGATTTGAGTTAAAGTCCCATCTCCTGCAATTGTTCCCTCACTTTAACTTAGTTGCTTAAGTGGCCTCAATTCCGAAAAACTATCTGTCCAACCAATATGGAAGCCAGATCAGCATCACCATCATCGTGGTTGTTAGGTGCATAGTTAAACAATCTACTTTTTCACTTAGGCATAAAGACCCCCAGAGTGGGGTAACATCCTACTATGTGTGTGTTATTATCCAGAAGCCCCAAGCTCGCCACAAGCTCCCTGAGCTGTCAGACAGAGGATGCCGAGTTTAGGAAGACGACTCCTGCTGGCCTCCTGTCACAACGCTGAAAAGACATATTTATTGCAAAATATCACTGTGGGACAGGAGGCAGGGGTCTGAGGAGGGAAAAGGGCTGATCGACGATGAGGATAAAATAATTAAAGGACAGTGAAAAAAAAGGGAGCTGAAATGGGTAAGTAGGTGAAAATGAGAACAATAAAAGTGAGGTAGGAAAGGGACTAAACTTGAGGAGTCAACAAATGGCTGAGCTGCTCGTTGATCTGCTGATTCCAGGGTGCAGACTAGACGGACCTCTTATTAAAAGGATAAGGCTGGCTTTCCTCTATATTCTTCTTATTGCCAGTAAAGCCCATGAGACAAAAACCAACAATGCCTTATCCTGTCTCTCAAAGCCTTCTCTACTGTTCTCAGTCACAAGCCCATTCATTCCCACTAAAGATGTACATCTTTTAAATCACAAATATACAGTTCATTAAAAAAAAAGGCTAAGTAACTTCCTGAAACAGCTGGACACTAGTTTTTATCAATCGGTACACAAACAGGACTAAATAGTGCATATGTTGGGGACTTTTTTATACTTTTTTCACTACATTTACAGGGAAATATTGTACTTTTTATTCCTCTTTATTTATTTGGCATCTGCAGTTCTGGTCACTTTGCAGATTCAGGTATAGCATATATATATATATATTTATACAGTATATATGTATAAAATCTGATGCATTGTTAGAGATTGAACAGTACTCAGTGCAATAAAATGCTATATGCTCTTTTCTGAAACATTATTCAGTGCTTGAAATTAATCCTAGTACGCTGGATAATCTACAGCTTAGAAAGGTCCATGAAAAGCAAAGTAACACAATTTTTGTATCATTACCATGGAAAAAATTTACTACATCACTGCTACAGGTAAGTAACTTCTTGTTCAAGAATTGCCTTTTCATGTAAAACACCACTGCATTATAATAAATCTCATGTATATGTTAAGTTTTACTTAAATACTCCAGTCACCAATATGGTAATCAGGAACATTTAACACAATACATTTTCTGTTTCTTCCCTGTTTTCCACAGTTTTTAAGCAGCATTTGTCTGCATCTGGAACCACTGATGCTCATTTGAATGACATTAAGGCTGACATTTGGAGTCATGGATTCATGATGAGAAACACTTCTGAACAGCTGTCCAGATTTTGACAGGCCCCGGGGCAAAAATATGTACTGAGATTTCCATTCAGTAGGGAGACGACGGCTCTTGTAGATAAACAGCTATAGAGAGAAAAATGTATGTCTCTCATCTCAATTAATTTTCCTGTTCTCTGCCACACAACCATAGCTTTTTACATTAGTGGAAGATACAATTATGTATGCGTTTGTGTTTTAGAGGTCTCAGGAGTAATACTCCATTACACATAAACGTCTTGAAATGAACAAAATGCATTTAAAAGTAAAAGCATTCATTATGCAGAATGTTATATTATTGGATCATTTTATTGATACAATAACTTTTATACTTTAATCATATTGTTGGCTGTGGTGGTGTGACTAAGTTTAGTATAGTTTAGCTGCCTTACATACTGCTGGGTAGTTTCATCTCTAACAATGCATCATATTTTATAAATTTATCATGTTTTATATGTAAAATCTTTATGTGAAAAGTAACTACAGTAGTATCTACAGCTGTAAAATACATTTATAATACAAGTGTACAGTAGCACAAAACTAAAGCAAAAGCAAATAAAAATTATACTCTGGGACAGCACCTAGTTACTTTCCACTACTGAATTGTTTCACAGATATTAAATGGGTCACTATTGCTCAGTTGGCTAAAGAATGTTTTATTGTTGGTACAGGAGATGAACAGAACTTTCAATTATTTCTATAAATGAGTCTTTGAAGCATATAAACAAATTATTAATTTCTTTGACTTTACAGTTTTTCTCAGGACATTATTTTACTATTATAATTATTATTATTATTTTGTTGTTGTTGGGTTTGGGTAAGTTTTAAACAGGTCTGATTCAGATCTGGTCCAACATTTAGACCCATAGAGACCTCTAATGTGTAGTGTGTGTGTGTGTGTGTGTGTGCTTCCTACACTACCTGTGCAGATGAGACCATCATGTTTGTCACAGACTCGGTCATCACACTCGCAGTGTTCTCCAGACACCCACCAGTCTTGCGGAGAGCAGATACATTGGCCGCAGTGGCAAGAACCTGCAACACAAATAAACAACTGTTAATTAACATCACATTTTCCTCATCCAAGCTGAGTAACATTTTAACAGTGTATACTTTGCTTTTTCTTTTTAACGCCACCCCCTTGTTGCTTTTGTTGTTGTTTTTTTTCAATAAATGCTGTTTGTATTATCCCCTGTCTTATTTTTACACAAAAAGATTAATAGCATTGGGCAGAGTGGATATGAGATGTTCCCTGGAGAAACAGCTACTAATATACTTTTGCCACCAGGAGACCAATCCACCCACACGTTAAACTTCCCCTCTTCTCTCTCTCTCTCAAGGGCAGCAGCAGGATAATAAAGTATTAAGGACTGGTAAAGGGAAACGAATCTACTGCTGTCTGCTTCATTTTTTCCCCATAGCTCACACCCAGAAGTCCAGCAACTATGTTTTCAATCTCCCCATTTTTTTATCAACATACACCAGGTTACAGAAACCCGCTATGAGAGTTGGGGAGAAAGTGAAACCGATCTGAGAGAGGTGACACAAGGGGTGGAGCTGAGGGAAGATTGTTCTGGTGTCTGAATGTATCGGAGCGTAAAGAATGAACACACTCATCTTCATTTTCACACCCTGCTTGGCTCTGCAGGACTGGACCCACTGCAGTTGGTCTATTAATGTGGATTCAACGCTACACAACAGTGAAGGAATCCTGTTGTGTTGTGTCATTTGCCACTTAATGATACATATAATATAGTGACATTGTGTAGAACGGCGTAACAGTTTGAGTTTGGTTTGATGATTGATTTTAATTGTAGTTTTACATATTTCAATTTCATATAAAAAGTACCTTTGATAAATATATCCGCTCATATATCCAATCTGTGTTCTTTGAAATGACGAAGTATTTTATGTGCGAATGTACTTTATATGTGCAAGTGTGTGGTAGCCAAACACTTGAAAGCAGTGATGGAAAGTAGATTTACTAAATTACTGTACAAACTTGAGGCACTTGTACTTTTCTTGAATATTTCCATGCCTTGCTACTTTATATTTCTACTCCACTAATTCAGAGGGAAACATACTTTTTCCTCCACTACAGTTATTTTACAGCTTTAGTTACTACTTACATGCAAGTAATCATAACATATATATTTTAAGTACATTTTGTGAATAATACTAGAATAACTAGAATATTAGCAATACATTGTGGTAGCAGTGATGACAAACAGCTTGTTCACCTTTTCCGCTGCACATTACTCCGTCAGAGGACTCACACAACTCCTTGCTCTGGCCGTCAGTCATGTCACAAGACCTGGGGAACTGGCACAGCTTCCCGAACCAGCCCTCCTCACAGATGCAGCGTCCACATGAACAGTAACCGTGACCTGGCGGTGTAGGGCAGAATGGCCTTCATTTAAAGGAGACAGAATATGGAGCATGGCCATGAGAAAATAGCCCAAATAGCAGAAAAAATTAATAAATAAAGCTTTCACAGAGTGAAAAGTTAAAAGAAATGCCACTGGAGAGGGGAAAAAAAGCAATAAAGCATATAAACACAGAAAGTTGACAGTGCAGACATTGAACCTTGACAGTAATAGGCACTACAAGGAGACAGAGCCACAGGAAGATGAGAGAGACACAGCAGGCTTATTGTATTTCCTCTGGGGACATGAAAGGAACTGTCATCACTGGTCTTGTCCTCTCCTTAATAAACCTCCAGCACTTCAGAGAGAGATGAAAAACAAAGAAAGGCAATGGCAGACAAAATCACACAAACATGCACACACGAACACACAAGAAACAAGGGATATTTAATTGGTTGAAAGAGGCAGTTGGGTGCTGGGATGCCTTAATAGCCGACAGCATCACTGTGGTTTTAACAAGCAGAAGTACACATACACGCATTCAGTTATGCCCACTAAGGCCCTCCTTCATCTCCAACAGAACCCTTCAGTCAATTGAAATATGTGCACTTCAGTACAAATCATATGATTGAGAGGCAGTTGCATCATTGACTGATTTATTTTTTTCACATTTGACACATAACGAGCAGAGCATTTTTCCATCATTGCAAATCCATACTTTACTGCTGGAAAATCTTTGATACAGGGATGCATCGATTCAATCAAGGTTGAATCGGTTAGCTTTTCCCTCTGCTTCCAGCCTTTATGCTAATCTTAAGTGAACAGGCTGCCGATTGTTCTGTTTTAATTGATTTCTCTGAGCAAATAGGGTAGACAAAAATTTTATCTTCGTATCTAGTATCTTGAGGGTGCTTGCCCAGAGTGTAGCTAAACACTAAATATGCAAACTTGAAAGCAAAGGATCATTTACAGCTATACTGTAGAAACAACATAAATATTGACTGTCTTCGCTCATGCAGTTGCTGCTTTCAGGGGGATGTGTGCACGTGCGCGTGTGCGATGGTGCTGTTGGTGGGAGGTTATAAATGAAAGTTAGCTAGCTTCTGTCTCAGCTGGAGTGGAGTGGCACCTATGGCAGGCCATGCATGGCTGCCTCAATCAGCCAGCCTGGGAGAGCGGTTAATTGCTTTGGAGGAACGACAACCTAGCCCTCATTCAATTAGTCTGCACCTGCCTTTCACAGTGCACGTATTGTGCTATAGTGCTTAGAGATGGACAGTGAAGGGGAGGTGGTGGTGAATCTGGTATTTAACCCAGCAAAGATCTGTACTTTATGCAGAAAGAGTCTGTCAGATGTTAAGAGTTCATTTTCCACAGAGAAGATGGAACGGAGTGGGTAATGCAAGGAAGAGAAGAAAGCGAGGGGAAGGTTCTGTGCACATTTCTATCTTGTCAAATTATTTCTGCTTGTATCTGAGCGCTAATACCATTACTTTTTTCAAACTAAAACCAAATTATGGACAAGTACTTGATATAAAACAGATTTTTGTAGCATGTGTTCAGGACCTTTGTCTTCATAATTTCACATTTTAAGATCAAACACAGTATCACATGTTGACAAAGCACCTCCCATTTTAAATGCTCAGAGAAATGCAACCTTCTTCTGTCTGAAACAAAATTTGAATCATAGCCCTAGGAAAGCTATAATCTATAGGGAATAATAATATAATATATGTGCCCCATCTTGTGAGGTACACCTGTTTACCTATGAGCCTCCCTGTTGCTATTGTGGTTACCTGATTACCTTTTTATTTTAGGTGGCCAAAGCATTGTTTAAAATTGGTAAAAATCTGGAAGACATGGAGAAGGAAAAAAAAGTGACCTTACTGGGAGAAATTTAATGTCACAGTCAAGAAACCGTATTTGCAGTCTGGTTGTAAATCTCAGGTTGTTGAAATAAAACTTATCTCATGTCTGTTTATTTATATAGAAATATTTATACTATATTAATATTATCCAATGGCAGTATCTGACAGTCATCTGACATGTGTTGATGTGAATTCATCTGTAAATTCAGGTATCTTGGAAATTGTCTTGTTGTTTCTAACAAGCGTTAAAATTGTAAAAACACTGAATGAGGAGCGCCCCAAACATAACATTAATTTTGCATACTGGAAGACTGGACAGTCTCATGTGGAGAGAAAGAGTAGGGTCACTCAGGACCCTGGGTCCTTTGGGGACCAGCCCCTGAAATAGGATACAGACAAATCTACATATCCAACCTGCTCTATATGAAAATTGTAATGAGATAACTTCTGTAATGAATTGGCGCTATATAAATAAACTTAATAGAAATGTAATTGAGTTAAATGAAGTAAAATGAACTTTTAAATACTATCCATGTCAACGTCCAAGTCATAATTATGTCTGTGCTATTCTGAAAGCTCCAAAACAGTATCCAAGATTTGGCACAGAAGTGCCTGAAAACCAAACAGATATTGAAACCTCAGATGAACTATAATTTGTTGCCCAAGCTACGTAAACCCAAATTTAATGCATATTATGCTATATTATCAATACACCCTTTTTAAACCGTCTCATGACCTGCTATTTCAGTCATATAGCCTTTTCAAATTACATGAATGCTCACAATTCATAAACCATCGCTACCATCTATCCCATATGAAAAGAATGCAGCTTCAACGTACAAAAGGGGACCAGAGAGTCCTGAAGAGCAAGCACTTAGGCCTTAATTGCAGTGTGTAAAGTGGATATTTGGCTGCTCTCTCACCTCGTTCTTTATGTTTAGAGTAAACCCTTGAGAGCTGTGGACTGAGCTGACTGACAAGTTGGTTAACACTGAAGGATGGAATTATATGCAAGGAGCCTGTGTTATTTCTCACCTCTCACCCCCTCTGCAGTGAGGCCCAAACATCCAGGGGCACTGACAGCACTGTACCCTAGAGGGAGAAGTTTCTTACAGCCCACTCACCATAAAGCTACTTTCTGTTTGATCCCCACTCTCCACTCTGGGTACCTGGTTTAGAGTGCCTCTCAGCTTCTCAAAACACCCAATAACTTCTACAGGCCTCTGAGTATACAGACTTAATTGTCAGCCTAACAGCATGTTTGTGTGTGTGTGTTTGTGCGTGTAACTGCATTGGTGTTTGATGCTCAGACAGCCTCAAGACGAATTGTCTCTGGACATCCCAGCACACAATGAGCCCCAGTAATCCATTCACATAAATACTGCATCCCCCTGTAACGGAGAAATTTACTCTCAGATGCTGCAATGCACCACAGATACAAAATGACAAAGCCGACTAAAACAACATTAAAAAGCCCCACTCACATGGAGGCAGTTACACACAAGCACATCTCTATGGTAGTTGGGTGAAAGGAATAGACAGGCTGCATGTCAATTTAAGAATGAATACACATAGTCTGAACAGCACATATCTTATTGTGAAACATACAACAGATTGAACACTGCAAAGAGTGGAAAGTGACTTCCATGCTGCACACACCTGTATGTGTGTGGGGGGGTCTCTTCATTGTTGTCAGAGAGGATTGGGAATATCTGCACTTTGTTTGTTTACTCATTGGAAAGCTGTCATGTTGTATCACTTTTCCAGTACTTTAAGTGAAGCAGATTTACTGTGTAATCTAAGCTATTAAACAGAAGAAGCAATAAATAATAAGCTTGTGTGCAAATGTAGAACCAAACCGAGTAATGTTTCCTTCAAAAGCCCTCTCAATGAGAGTTATGTTTGGCTGATGAATGAAGCATTTTGTCATAGTTTTCCCTTCCATCTGACTTCCAGTATTTTGTATCTGTCCCTGAATGGCAGCAGCAACAGTAGCTGCAAAGGGAAATATCAATTTCAATTGAGCCTCTAATGTTTTATTGCAATCTATCCATTATGGTGTTTGTGCCTAAACAGCTCAAATTAAGAGCACAAACTTTCCAAGACCTCGAACAGAGGCTTCAAAGGTTTGGAGCAATTTCTCTCAAATTCAGCTCAAGGATTTAGAGGGCTGTGTCTGTGGATATCAAAGAGAGCAGATAGGATCACATTTTATTGATCTTCAAATTCAGCGTCTGCTACTGGCATCATTTCAAAGTGGGTGAGTGTGTGTTTGTGTGTGTGTGTGTGTGCACATGCTGTACAAAATGTCGTTTTCTGTGCAATAATTAGAAGAGGACTGGTGAATGTGTAATCGTGTCTAGCACATCAGTATGTCTCCATGTTTTTGTTCTTCAATGGAGGAGGGAAGCAGGTGGATTTGAGGGTTATGGGAGTATTTTCAACACTGTACATTGATACATTTGATAATGCCAATGCTCCTCAACATAGAAACATGTGTGTCTCCGGGATAATTTACCAATAATATTTAACAGTGATTGGTCAAAATAAACTCTGTTTTTCTGTCACAATGTGGCAAGTATAACAAGAATGGCTCCGTCTACGATAGTGCCTAATGAGCCTCAGCAGCTAATGCTATATAGTGGGAGGAAATCAGAGGCAAAAGTCAAGGGTGTCAAGACGACATGATAGTGGCAGAAATGCACATGAGACTATCATACTGTAAGTGATGTTACACTGAGCCTGGAGTGAGAGAATTTTCCTAATAACTACTGAACACGCCAAAAAAAAAGAAGGGATTCAGATTAAGTTATTATAAATGTTAAGCTCCACATAGAACTGATCCTCTGTGACAGTCATTCGTGCTTACAAGAATATTCTAAGCATGCAACAAGTTTTCTTAAATCATTTGTGTGTGCCACTAAAGAACAAATCTGTTCATACTAGTGGTTCGTGCTTGAAGACCGTTATATATGCCGAAAATGAACAGAACTTTTACCTCTGGAAGACTGAATGCCTGAAAATATGTCTCCCAATTCTCTACTCTATACAGCTTGAACAGTAAAGTTGAAACGTAGACTTGCCCTTAATGGACACAAAGCTTCGATGAATGTGTGTTTGGTGTGTGTGTGTGTGTGGTGCTGACCTCTACAGACCTCTCCTTCGATGTCCTCACACTGACGGTCGTCACACTCACAGTTTTTGCCATGAACACGACTGTCCCCAGGTGGGTGGCAAGTACACTGTCCACACAGGCACTGACCTGCAAACACAGAGATGTTTTCTCACATCTGAGCAGTTTTTGAAAACATAGTTGTGCTTGTAATAGCTGCTCAGCAGAATAATCTTTCTTTTCCCAAAATGTGTCACATCATCCTACACTCGTTTTCAGGTTCAAAATCTTATTTTGGGGTTTACCAGAATAGGTTTACATCAGGGGTATTCAATTATAATTCAAAGAGGTCCAGTTAGAGAAAATTTCCCGAAGCAAAGGTCCAGAACATCAAAACGACTAACTTGCGTTATCATTCAGTACCATAACGTATAGTTGTATCAACATATGTTTTTAGTCAACAACGGACTGTCAAATCAAATAATATTTCAGTCAGTTTTCACATCAAACTGGAGGGATAATAAATAATAACTACTCTAATAAATAATATATATATAATAATATAATAAATTCTATCCAATGCATTAGAATTGGCTGAGCAGCGCCACATGAAACGATTGAAGCACATGCGTTTGGTCTGTGAGTTTCCTGGGCCGCTAAACCAGTACAGTAAATTCTAGAAACGTTGCGTGGGTTAAAATAGAAACACTCCGTCACAAGGTAGTAAGTCTCAATAATAAATCGGCTGTAGGTCGGCGGTCCGGAGAGGACAGCGGCTGGGTCCAGATCTGGACCGCGGTCCGCCTATTAGTGACCTCTGGTTTACATGGTTTCATTTCCAAACACACCATATTTTTTTGTCATATTGCACATTACTGCAGCTCCTCTTTTCATGCTTTGTGTTGAACGCTTAGTTTTAGCTATGGAGTGATACATCTGACTTCTAAAAGATCTTTGTTGGGAGTTGCACATCCATAAAGTTATACCTGAGCTCTATCTCTACATCACAGCTTTATGTCCACTGACTGCCTGGACGGTAGCTAATATTTGGAAGGGAGAGGAGAGGCAGCAGACGGACGTCTTGTCACTGTGTGCTGCAGCTTAGTGTGTCGGACTAGACGTTTGGCGAGCATTATGACGTACATTTTGCTGTGACGTCACAGGGATCAAAGGGAAAAAGGCTGGACTACAAATGAGCTGTTTCAGGCAGTTCAGAGCAGTGTTTTCTGTGGGAGATGGGAACTCACACTTTGTAAACCTGTTACATGCACAAAAAAGATATATAACTCAATAAAGGAAAGGAAAAAAAACAAAAAGCATAACATGACCTCTTTAAACTTGTAATTCAAAAGAGACATTTGTATGTGTGCAATGACTGATTTTACACTAGACTTAATCTGCCTGACAACATTCCCTCAAGCCACACAGGGAAATTTTATATGTAAATAACTCACTCACACAGGGCTACACACCCACACATACACACCTCGAGATGTTGCTATCCCACTTCAATCAGCGAGCTGCCAGGGAAGAAGGCCACGGGGGAACTTACTGATGCGGACATGCTGGCTAATGGTGAAGCTCATTAGAAAAACATCATCTATTCTGAACTATCACTGAAGGTGTGCAGCATACGTGCTCATTGATCATTTTACCAGGCTGCTCAGAGTTATATGAATTATGGGCGTAGTGTAGGGCACACACAGACATTTGCAGGATAAGAGGGACAATTCTTTTCTAATAGTATTGGTCAATAGTTTCTGTCAATGCTCACACCTTGCATGACAGACTTTTGTTACACATACAGATGTTCCAAATAATCTACTTACAGTAACTGAGCCATTTGTTTCTTTAATAATGTTACCATAATAATATATTCGCAACAATATTACCGAGGGGTGAAATGTAATCAAGTTCAACCTAAGAGTACATAGTGCATGTTTTATTACAATCTTTAATAGAGCTTAAGAAAATAACACTGCATAATGCAAGGCATTACCATGAAATATGCATTTGTCTTGTGAGCTCTCTGCTTTACTGACAAAGTAGAAAGACACACACAGTTGGGCGTAAATGTTCCCGTCCACTGATGCTGCAGACAAAAGACACCCAGAAGGGATACCAACAGGTAAGCTGCCCACCATGAAAAATAATTGCACAAAGGGAATTTCCCAGCTCAGTGAAGACAGATGGTTAAAACACAGCATCCTCAGTCCCTCTCTTTCTCCTTTCTCCTGTTTTTATTGAGCTGGGTATGTCCTTTTTGCACAGTCATTATTCACTCGGAGTGTTTCGCGGTTTGTAGCAGCAGAGTACATTTTGGCTGCCTTTATCTTCTGATGACTCATTGAGTGGAATTAGGGGCAATAAATAGTGCTGAACATGAATTTACAAGACAGACACTCGACTGACAGTGTCATCTAATGTGTTGTCCATGTCACATCACTGTCAGTTTTTATGACCCCCCCCGACACACACACTCTAGAAACCTCTCTTCCTGCTTCACATATCACATATAGAATACCACCATCTGCTCTAGGGACTCAGTTACCCTAGCAACCAGTGATGTCACACCCCTGCCTTATCGATTATCTCTCTGGCTGTCAAACATCTACAGTGTCTGTGTGTGTGTTGATGGTTAATTTGTCACCCTGTGACGCAAGTAAGGCGTACAACGCCATAGTTTAATTATTATTTTAATCAATTTCTTCATTGACCAGGGACAATGCACATTAATCAACGTTTCAGTTTGCACACCAGTGTAAATGTGCTGGAGTTAGCTAATGAGTTAATTTCCATCCATAATCCCAGGGTAGGTTTTATTAGAATTGGTGCCTTATGTCATCAATACAGTGACAATGTCATATCAGCAGACAACAGACATTTTGGCTTGATTTTCATAAAACCGTGCAAAAATTTACTTAATAACACAGGGTAGACAGGGTGTGAGGGTGTCGCAAATATATTTTTTAGTTATTTCTAGGAGCTAGAGGTGCGAGCTCAGTAATGTTAGAGTGCAGCACAAATGGGGGCTAGATGAATATATTGTCAATTAGATGAATACTTAATCAGAAAGCGGTAGGTAAGCTTGAATTATATCAAGTCACCTCAACATTCCTATTAAAAGCAGCAGACCGTTTCTTAAGGGGCTTGGAGGTGAGTCCTCGCAATCTTCACCCAAGAGAAAACTGCTTTTTTCCCAGGAGACGCAATCCCAGTGCAACAAATCTATACTCCTTATGATATGAAACCTAAACCTAAAGACTTTGTCAAATAGCTCGAAGTATATGCTCAAACATACAGATGGTTTTGTTCTTAATATTTTTAGCCAGGTGCCATGTCCGAGGTCTCAATTAATCCACCCTGTTTAAATCGCAATCACAACTGATTGAAGCAGGACTTTAAATTAAAGACAGAAGATAAAACATCAACTTAAAGAGAAAGCCCTCATACATTCTGCAGTGGTTGCAGATCGATCATCAATGCCACTTGTTACAGACACAGTGAAGTAGTGTTTAATTGTGATCTTAAAAATTCCAATCAATGGGAAAGCTGCAAAGTTCAACAAAAATAAAAAATATATGTGATTTTGGAGATGTCATTGTGTGTGATTCATTTGTGTCATTTTCAGTAAAATGATCTGAATCCAGTGAAAATGCCAAAATGGGTACCAAAATTGTGCCGCACTGGCTGAGGCGCATACACACAACCACAGCTGTGACACTCCTCTCACCATAGAGCTGTGAAACCAACACACAGGAAAAAGTGGAGAAAATGTTGAGTGAAAAGAAGTGTAATCCACTTGCATAGGCGAGTACCACCATTATCACAGCATTCTTTGCCACAGAGACAGCGGGTCTGATTTTCCAGGGCCACTATTAACACACAGATAGTGTTGATGATCTGGTTAAAGCCAATGCAACTACTGTCACATCATTAATCACAGAGGCACAAGCAAACTGTTGATCTTAAAGCGGCACTTCTTTATACATCAAGATCTGTCATTAACTAGTCACAGAAAGTTATAATAGTTTATAATGTATTCTGTGGCTTTGAAAAGGAGCTTTCCGGTCTAAAAAGTTTCTCTAGGGATGTAAGCAGGGTTACCTTGTTTACAACAGCCTGTGGACTACGCATGACATTGAAGTTAACCAGGCACGGAGAGTGAAATAAAACAAAATTGAGTTGCATTATGGGTTTCAATATGTACTCATATATATACATCAAAATCCAGTGTTTCCCACACATTGATTTATTTGTAGCGGCTTACAATAATATCAACACTGACTGCCACATATTGATTTTCAATATTCTGTCTCTGAATAGCCCCTCCTCCACAATCTGAATCAAAACATGATCATGCATGGGAGGAAGGATTGTTGCTGGCTTTTTCCCCACAGAGAAGATTCCTGAATCAATCCGGAGTTGAACGGTTAGTATCATGAACACCGCTGCACAAATTTGTCCAAAACCAATGCATTCAAGTTAACTCTGATAAGTTAGTCAATCTGTTCTTAACACAATGCTGTCGATCTCAGAGACCCACCTTCAGGTTATTAGCAGGCATGTAGCTAATAAGGATAGCTATGTTAGAATACAGCTGGGTTGTTAAGGTTAGCATACCCCTGTGTGCCACAGTTACAATGTCATTCTGTGGGAAACACTGAAATCTCTCTTTTCTCTTTCTGTGAAACATATATACAATACAATATTTTTCATGACTCCTCCTGGATTTTGGATTCATTCCATCCACCCAATGACATGTGATTAACCAGCTAACACCTTCCATTATACTATATAAAAGTGCTCTTAACCGTTAGCTAGAGGGTCATAGTAGCTAGTGGAGCAATATCATAGTAGGTGGTGTGTGTTTGAAGAGTGTGGTGGCAGTTAAATTTATTCTCATCGCTTTTTTCCTCCCTCTCCTGATCTAACCACAGGTGAAGGAGGTGTGGGTGGAGGTGAAGCGTTCTCGTCAGCTCCATATCTCTACAGTTGCGTATAGTTTCGCACGGCTCTCAAGTTTTATCAAAAGTTTGGAGTGAGATAACGTGTGTTAGAGGAGGAGCCACTCAAATATTTGCATCAGTTATTCGGATCAGGGGCCATATTTCTTTTTAGTTTTGATACATTTGTATTTTTGAAATATAAGTGTGTACACTTATATTTTAAAAATTGTATTTCAAAAATTGTAACTGTGTTTTTGAAATTGTATTTCAAAAATACAAATGTATCAAAACTAAAAAGAAATCCGGATCCAAACAGCAGTTCTGTACACATAGGCCTACTGAAGGATTGCAGAACTTGCCCTACGCATGTATGCCAAGCTGTGTGTGTGAGTAGGCTACACATTTCAACTTATGAATGGTGTTTTGTGTTGTAATTGTTTGTGGAACATTTTAATGCCTTGATGATAGGGGTAGGGGGCTCCCACTTAAAGCCCTGGGCCTCAAGGTCAGCCATTTTCACCATCATGATGGAAGATAGCTTTCCATCCCGAGCCAAAATATAGAAAAACATCTCTAATCCTTTCCTTAGTTTCAGGTAGCCAAAGCTAAGCCCAATGGGGCACAGTAACAAAGTAGTACTGTACCTAAGTAGGCCTACACAAGATATGTACTGAACTTGAGTATTTTCTTTTCGTGCCACTTTCCACTACTTCACCACATGGGTTGGACGTGCTTTCATGGGATCAGGATTTTACCCGGAAACAACACAATTTAATTTCTGATCGGCTACACCGCTCTGGTATTTAGTAGACTACACAGAAAGCTATGAACTCGGCACAAAATGATCGCCTACTAATTGAATATAGCGGGTTATCTCTGGACTCAGTGTCAGAAATACAAGGTGTGGCGTGTGAGCGTGTCTCACGGTAAATGCGTGAGACTTGAGAGCCCTGGTTTCATATTCAGAAAGCCGCACCCTCTTTCAAATAATCCAATTAAAGTATTTCATCAAATGCCTCTGTGAAGTGATTGCCCACCCCTCTAAATTTTGACCATGTTGTTTAACTTGTCCCTTTCAAGTTTATGGTAAAAATTGCTAGACTACTTAAATGTTAGATATTGGAGTACAGTAATCCAAAAGGTGTGTATGTGCCATTAAATATAACTACTACAGGCCACCCTTCGGAAAACGGCGAAAGGAATCCCATGAATCAGCAGAAAGATGTTGAAAGCATGTGTTTCCTTGAGGAAATACCACAGTATAAAGAATGTGCTATCCACAAGCATCTTGCCTCCACCTCTCAGGAAGAAAAGCTCTGAAGCTGCTGTTTCAAATTTCAAGGCTTTTCCGCTCAAGCTGCCATCTGCACCAGCTGCATTCATCCATGCCTAAGTGATTTTCTCTGTCTGTCTCCTTCAGTTTCTCTCTCCTCCTCTTCCTGTCTCCCTTCATTGTATTTCTCCCAGCCCTTCCCTCTCTCTCCCTTTTCTTTCCCCTTACATCCTTCGCCATTCATCGAAGCTTTGCAATGAACTCTGTTACAGTCATTTGTTTCTAACCATTGTGATCTTCCAAACACTAAACCAAATGGCCATCATCTGGAAAAGACCGTTAAATAAATAAAACTGCACATGCACACACACGCCATTCTTAACACTCAGGTATGCATGCACTCACCCTTCCTCTTTATTACTGCCCTGACAGTTTCCCTCCTCTGTCTGTCTGAGCACAGGCAGTGAATTGTACATTCAGACATTTATTACAAATAACAAAGGAGGAGCTAGGGGAGAAGGCAGTGTGAATGAATGACATACAGACAATGCTTTCAACATGTAATAGATATAAGTTGTTGGCCTCAGCAGACATTAGTAAGTTTGATTCTATTTACAATGTCTCCATGTTTTATATATTTAACAATGTTGCAAATCCTAATAAGAATTTATTACTTTAGGTGTATGGATAGTAAAATATTTACTCAACACTGTACTCCTTAAAATTTAAAAGGAAGAATTTATGGATCCCATTAATAGTTCTATTGCACAGGGTAATTTAAAGTTCCATTTTGTTGCAGCAATTGGGAGCTAATTTAAAGGTACTGCAGGAGGAATTAAAGCTAATGAACTCTCCCAGCACAAGTTAATCTTTGCTGTTTCATTATGTGAGGGGGCCACCATGCCTGCTCAGCCCTGTTGTTGTGGAATTCGTCTGAGGCCATCAAAACTATTCCTGAACAGACACCATATGTAATGAATAGTTGATGCACTCAAAGACTCCAGTTGGTTGGAGTGCACTTAGCCGATGTCGAGGCTTCACACAGCAGCTTCGTTTACCATAATGCTGTCATTGTTCCATTGTTAGCTTGTAGTGACGTTGACTTTTTAATGTAGTTGTCTCCATGGTAGCAGGCTGCCATATGTGTTTCAGGTGCCTGATCTAATCAGCAGGTTTCCCATCCATGGGTGCGAAGGACATCTATCGCGACTACCGGTATATTAACAAACAATAGGGTACAGTCCGCATACCCTCTCTTTTCATTTCAAAGCAACAGCTGAAGGGCTGTGCATTCCCCAATGACTTCCCCCACAGTTAATGCTTTACATTAACCCTTACTAACTCTGCAGAGCCCTGCTTCTTGTAGTATCGCCCACTGCCGACTATAATATTAAGCTGAATCACTGTGAGACGAACAGAATACAGCAGGCTTTACTATATCTTTCCTTATTGTCCTTTCATCCTGAAGTACATGGATACAGCTAGGCATTCCTTATAAAATTACAACAATGTTTAGAGCAAAATGAATGGAGTGGTACAGCGAACAATTGCCCATACAGCAGGGTAAAGCTAATTGATTAAAGCTGCTGCATCAGTGTAAAATACAGGAACAAGACATACCTCAGAAGACTTCTGCATCTCAGTGCAGTGTGCAAAATATAGCCACTAGACACTTTTTCTTTTAAACAAATGGCCAGTGTACTTTGGAACAATGCATGATGTCAGTCAGTCTAAGAACAATGGTGATAGGAACATCACATGTGCATTGTTAACTCTGGACGCAAACACATCATCTATCTGGAAAAGAGATACCATAATTTCTTTTTCTGTAGCAATTCTTTACATTAATTAACTTGCAACTGATATAATTTCAGGAAGTCTGTACAATAGGTGATTTTCTTCACTCAAAACTCATGAATATGAACACACATTTTCAAAGAAAAATTACATCCCTCTTAAAGTATCACGGAAAATTAGTTTTTAAGTAAATCTGAGGCAAAATGTAAGTCTTGCAACAACCATGCTCATTTGTATATTGTATAACTGCTTACACCCTATCCTAATCACATGGTTGAACCTCAACAAAGTCACATATGACCTGTCCTGATGCCACATACTGTACATCTAGGTAATGTTTCTTTTCCATCACTCATCGAGGTTGTGTCTCCATGCTCCAACAATAGCTCCACGAAGCTGTGTTCATGGCTTTAGCTTTATAGTTTTGTTGTTCTCCAAAGCCAGTTGTTTTGCTGTACCTTCTGCTTCTTTTTGGGAGAGGGATGCCCAAACATCTACTGAAACCAAATGCTGTACACTTGGATTATGTGGCTCATAATGTGATTTCCCCTTGCCCATGTTTTAAGACATTTCAGTTTAACACAGGATACTGCAGACGTGGCCATGGGCGTTTTATTTTCACTGCCTGTAAAGATTAATCAGTGCAGTTTCACAAAAGGTGAGTCTTTGTTTCTACCTTTGTTGGCTGATAAGCTTTTGGCTGTGTACCTTCTGTAGTAAATCAGGGTAATGTATGTCAATCAATGTAGCAGCTGAGCAGTTAAGATGGTCTGACTGCATGTTTTCCCCTGTCTATTTAAAAGATGTTATGGCCTAACTAAGATTGTGGGTGTTTTACTCCTGCACATGAATGAATGTGTTTGACAAACAGGGTTACCATTTCACATGTTTATTGATCCACTGTGAAACAAGCAATTGTGGAGAAATGCTTGTGGCGTGGTGCCCGTTTTAATACAAACTCCTATTCATGGGTGAAAATTTAATGGCCATTAAAAAACTATGTCCTGAATCAGCGTCTTACTACAAAATGGTAAATGGCTGCATTTACGTAGTGCTTTTAAACATCCATTCGTTACGTTTAGACCTAATTCTCTTCTTACCTTACTAGTGGAATAAATTGTATTTAAGGGAGCTACAGTGTGTGGACCCTTTTTCATGTTTTCATTGTTGTCTTAAACAGTATTTAGATAAGCATGACTACTAAGCATGGAATGTAAACAGTAACACACAATATGACACTCTATGTCATATTACTTTTTCTAGCCCCAAAATATACAATATGTTTTCTTAGTGTATCTATTATCCCACTTTCACCTTAATGTCATCAATGAGCAGGCTCAAGGGTGCATGGCTGGGACAACAACAACAAAAGGAAGCACAACCTGGACCTTTGTTGTTGTTGACACAGGTTGCCTCACTATTGGAAACATTATATTAGTATTAGAGCCTAACATTTGGAGTCTCCAACAAAAGGAAGCTTCCTTTTTCCAGAATGGCCAGTGATGAAGCACAATGCACTGTAATAAATCTAGACACATCGACCCCCAGCTTGCTCTATTGAGAGAGCTGTTCCAGCCATGGTTTATTGTTGCAGGCAAATAGTGCCCCTTAAACTCACATAAACACATGAATGTGCACAGTGCACATATATTCACATGTATGAGCAAATAGTGCACATAACAGAACAAAAAATGTTTAAAAACTAATATGTGCATTTACAAACTGTGTAAATGCACATAATAAAAAGTAATAAACAGTAATTCAAATCTGCATTCATGTAAATCATGTGTACGACGCTTGTTAAAGATGCAATCAGACTTAATTGCTGGGCACCCTAGTGTCTTTACAGCACTCTTAAGGATAGATTAACAGATGTGAAACACTGGAAATAGCCTATTTTACACAAAGAGGTGAGGACAGAGTACAGGCCTGCAACCATGGCAACAGGAGGGGCTGGGAAGACCAGGTACCTCGTCCGAAGCAGGGCAAATTGGACGTTCCTCGACATTTCTTCAGACTGCTGTCCAGAGACAAGGAGCAGGACAGAGGATGCTCACATTTCTTCCCGGCCCATCCCTCTTTGCAGTCACATCTGCCACAATTACACTGGCCATGACCTGCCAAGACAAAAGAACAAGAGGTGAAGGAAGCAGACAGGTAAAACAAAGTGGAGGCCCTGTACCTTGGATGTACAAAAAGAACTGGATACAGCATTGGAGGCGGGGCTCAGTTCATTCCTCTGAAAGCTGCTCAGTTACGCATGAAGTCAAAAAAGTTTGATTTCCGTGTATAAAATTACCCAGATCTTCTGTATAGCTTCAGCGTACCCCACAGGAGCAAGCGCACTAGTGTTTCCTTTAACCCCGCCTCATAGAGCAAACACACTAGAGACTTCTGCCGATGAAGTTCCGGTTTAGCCCTACGCTAACTTCAATGAGAGTAAAATTATTTATTATTATTGACTTTCCAAATGTTTTCAGATTGTATTAATCAATTCTGAAATTAAAATTAGGCATTTTGGCTAAAGTCTATGGGGGGAAGTCTTTTGGGGCCAGTGTGAATCACGTGACAGACCTGGAAGTTGTAATTCCACGGTTTGGCCACTTTGTTAAATTGGCTTCAAAGCATGCCGCACTTCCTGGAGGCTTGCTTTGTACATGGAAAATTCAACTACACATACTGATAGGGGGAAAAACATAACCGAGTAAAGTGGGCACACTGGGCAGGCTGGTGAGTTGGATGGGTTATAGAGCAAAAAAGGGGGTAAAAGGGAAGCATGTGTGTAAGAGAGAGAAAGGAGGTCAAGTAGTAAAATAAACAAGGGGCAGGACATGCTAGAGGTGGGAAGATGAGAGGGAATTTAGTGCCCTTAAAACATTGACAAAACAAGCTTTGACTGTCTGGTGTTGAGATTTAAAACATTAAGATGTAAATTGTGTAAGCATCCTGGTTGGCTATACTATACATGAAGGTATAAGCCAAAGAACTGTTAACTGTGTATATGCTAGGGTGATAAGATACATTTTCTGGTACAAAAATTATTAGTTTAATGGATAGCAGGCACAATGGTAGCATACGTCATATTTTGTTCATAACTTATTTAGAGAAACAGCGAAAAAGGTCATTCCCACCCCTCCCTAGTGTATTGGTAAGTCAAAGAAAGTTCACTTTTGTGGCTGCAAAGATGCACCAGAGTATTAGAATCAAATGGGGAGCTGTTGCATGGAACTGCAGTTAATCAAAGGTTAAGATCAATATATGGTACTGACATGAACAATATCATACACCAGTAGTTGTGCATTGTATAAGCCAGTTCTCTTTTAAAGCAATACTAAAGAAGATTGATGATAACAATAGACATTCACAGAAGTAGAAAAATACTTCTGCACATTGACCCCCATACAACACTTATTTTTAGGGGCAGGCTAGCTGTCATTTCCTGTTTCCAGTCTTTATGCTAAGCTAAGGTAACCGGTTGCTGGGTCCAGCTACATATTTAGTGCACACTCATATGTGGTATCGAGCTTCTCATCTAACTCCTGGCAAGAAAGCAAATAAGCATGTTTCCCAAAATCTTGAACCACTTCTTTAACCAATTTTAGGAGGACTCAGGATTGCTCTACATGTATTCCATACAGGTATGTGACAGCATGCTGACCTGAGCAGAAGTCATCCGTGTATCGGTCGTAGGTTGCATGACAGTTCCGCTCATCACACTCGCAGGTGTCTCCATGAATATCTCCCCAGTCGCCAGAGGGATCTACATCATAACAGTTACACTCCCCACACACACAGGTCCCTAACAGCCACACAAACACACATACTGTAAATAATTGTCCATTGTATTTTTTTCTTACAGTCCAAATGCATCAAAAATGTGAACTGGAAAAAGCCAAAAACAAAACAATGCAAAATACAACTCATTGTCTGTAAGATTTTAAACATCTGTGCTTCTAGCAGATGTGTGTGTGGGGGTGGGTGTGTGTGTGTGTGTGTGTGTGTGTGTGTGTGTGTGTGTGGGGGGGTCCTACTTTAGCAGAGGCTGTAGCCAACAGGATAAATTCACGTTCTCCTTCTGTCTAATTTTTTCTTCCTTTATCTTTGTATCTGTCTGTTTGTCGCTTGTCTCTTTTTCACATAATCCTCATTTTTTGTTACACCTTAGCCAGGGCATCAACTGAGCAGCAGCCAGTGGAAATCCCATTTTCTCTTATCAGCAGTGACAGAGCACAGGGAACCCCAGGGGAGCCAGGCCAGCTGGCAAGCCTGTGGGCTGTGGCTGGCGCATGTCTGGCCCCTGGCCCTGGGTTCAGTCTCCCTTACCACCTCATAACCCTGGAGCCCTGGATTTATACAGCCATGCACTTTTATGTCTGCCACTAATGTCGCAGCCCGGCTTCACCAGAGCAGATTACAGCACCTGTACTAGTTACTGTTAAAAAATGAACACTGTAAAATCTATAAAATCAGGACTCAATTGTAGAATGCAATTATGTTCTGTATATTCAAAGGCAGTTTCTCACCAAATTCCTGTTTTTTAGCTTAAAAGCACACAAAATGAGAATGTTTCGTCTCTGTTTGCCTCATATAACCATATCTCTGAATCAAAGTGGTTTGAGAAACACATCATAGCCTACATAGATGCATGTATTTAGCCTCTAGCATTGCTTGGCTATTATCATTTTGACAGCATGGCAGTTGGTGTTTTATTAGCTCAACTGAGGAGGTTAGGTGAGCCTAACACAAGGAGGGGGTTGACAGTTTGTTGGAATGAAACCGAATAATCTATTGGGTACTGTCATTATTCGCTCATTCATTTCTGAGTGTGAGCAGGCCAGGATATAAAGGTTACTATTGTTGAGCAAAGTATAAGAGAGAAAGAAAGAAAGAGAGAGTGAGTGAGAAAGAGAAGATGAAATTTCACATTCTCTTTTCGGTACAACACTTCATTTACTTCATCTCTACATCTATACAGGATAATGCAATCAAATCACCCCTATTTAATGTAATCATCTTTCCTGATCCATCTCCCATAATCACCATGAATTATTCACATTGCTTTAAAAGAGGATTAATTTAGAGCAAAATGGTTATATGTCATATAGGGTGGGAAATGAGAATTGTTCCCATTATAATCAGCACCAAATTGTCTGACTTCTGAGGACAGTGTACTTATATTAATTATATGGGACATGGAGTGAAAAGATGTTCAAATATGTTGCCACATTTTACCAAAAATACGAGATTTTGAGCATTGGTCACATTCCTGGCAATGTGCTTTATCATTTCTTGGCAATGCATGTAGAAAAAGGTATTTTGGATAGTTTACAATACAGGTGTGTTGTATTTTTTGTGCATCAATTACCTCAAGTAAAATCTGCTAAAATGTTAATATTAGAGCCACACACGCAACCTTGCCATATCTTTTTTCCCCATGAACTAGAATAATGAAATGTAAATAATAATCATTCCCAAATACATCATACATACTCTTTAGTTTCATCAATTTTAAAAACTGTCAGCCAAGCTCAGGTTGTATCCAGTAGTTCCGTATATGACAAATATTGTTGTTGTTGTTGTTGAGTGAGATTCCCTGTACATGCTGTAATGCTTGTTCTTTTCATTGAAACAGTCAGCTTAACAGAGAGTAAGAAAACAATAACAAAAATAAAAATCGACTTATTTTTCCACAGTTCAAAAATGTATCAAAAAAGAATCAATAAAGAATTAGATGGATATGGGTTTTAACTTTTTGTGGTTTTACTTTTGAAAGAATCTGAAAAGGCTCTCAAGCCTATAGAGCAAGCAGAAGAAACATGGTTGATTTTAAAATAAAACCAGTAATAATGAAAATGTACTTTTTAATTGCTGTCATTTCCTTTGTTCTTTTCTCTGGTAACTTTTGGGGTTTGTCAGGCCTTTCCCTGCCCTTTTCTATACTTAAGACAAGTACAATGGAATACTATACCATGAACACAGTTGGTGGTTGTTCATGCTTTGTCAGCTGTGCACTTAACCATAAATCATGAGCCTCTGCCCATGCGGCCTACTATTTAGCCCTACCCCTTAGCCAGCCCTCAGCCAGTACACTGTATTTAATTTTGGAGAGCTTTAGTGAAATCCCGCAGGATCATTTTCTCTGAATGTCTGTCCGCCAAGCTCTGATGATGACTCTCGGTGGAATTTACATGACGATGTCTTAAACCTCTGTTCTCTTAATTCTTATTGTCACTCTAGAAAACACACTGAACTGGGGTTCTTTTGTCATACATGCTGGAAACTGACAGATCAAATAACCCCACATAAAAGACAAGCAATGAACCTGTTCCCATTTAGAGTGGTTGTTTCCTATTTCCTGGTAACACAATTCAATTGAAATTGTCACTGTGAAATTGTCCATTCACTACCTGTCCACAAGATGCCCTCAGACTTTTTCACCAGACTTCCTCATGACCTGCTCACCTGTTCTCATTCCCCGCATCAGTCACTCACTATATATATAAACCAGCCCAGATCTTTTGTCAGTTTGTCCAGTTGCTATGTTCCTGTCTTTTCTTGTTTCTTTTGCTTTTGCGCTTCTGTCACCTATAAATACCTGCCTGTAAGCTATTCTCACAAAAAAAATCGCTGGTCATTCATTGTTCCAGTAGTTTATGCCTTTGTGAATCAAAGCTAATAAATCTTCACATCCGCTTATAATAGCTGTTGGAAAAAATAAGCATTCCACATTTCTTAGAGTTACCAGAGATGATTACCACAGATTTAAAATTTTCTATTGTAATTTAATCATTAAATAATCACAAATGGGATCCCAGACTACTGGATACTGACTTTAAAGTGGCTAAACAGACCTCTGTTGCTGCAGATTTTGCCATCTGGAGATGTGCATCTCCGCTTGCTTTCCCATGGGCTGATGTCGCACTGGAATTCACATTTGTCTCCATGCCAACCAGCAGCACAGTAACAGTTTCCACAGTAACACTGGCCATGGCCTGGAAGCAGATCAGAAAGCACATGCAACTGATGAGTTTACCCCTGTCAGTGTTATAGATTGGACAGCCTGGTAAAAATTTAGCCCATATTTATTCTATTATTCAGTTTTAAAAATGCATATTTTCTTTAATCAAAATTTCATGTCACTGTTTATACACCTTTTTTTTTATTTTTTTTTTTTTTTACAAAAGGTCTTTATCGGCAAACTCCATAATTTAGCTTTCAAAATGAATTTATGAATGGCTAATTAACATTGAAAATCAGGCACTGGAACAACATGTGGAGAACAGGGATGCTTGAACCAAGACAACAGTTCAAACATTTAACTTCCAATTAACCTTCCTGGACACATTAGACTGATGTGTTCTCTTATGTGAAATTGAAAAATTGGGTAGCACTTTATAATAACTACACACTATAAAGCATTAGTTAAGCATTAGTAAATAAGGAATTCATCATTTATAAAGCATTATTCATACATCAATATCCATTAGTAAGTCATTCATAAACACAGTTGTAAATGTTTTATTCTTTCTTATCTACACACTATGAAGCAGTTGATAAGTATTAGTGCATTTTAATTCATCATTTATAAACCATTGTTCTTACGTTAATACACATTAGTAAGTCATTATAAACATAGTTATACATGTGGTATTCTTTATTAATAAGCTCATCTATAATATGCTTAATAACTGTATTTTCTTACATCATATATGATCGATTCACTATTTATAAATGAAGTATTATTTTAATGACAAAACATTTATGTATGAGTTGTTAATGGTTCATAAGATCATTTGGAAAGTTTAAGAAATTTATTACATAACTGCCTGTTTTTTTGATACTTTCCCACGAAAGAATTTAAACAATCTCAGCATAACTTGTAAATCTACCAGTGGCAAAGCCCTAAGGATGCTACTAAGACTACCCGAAAGATGCCCCAGCTAACTTTACAGGGTAAAAGCCTCACCGTTACAGGCCTGGTACCATTTCTCTGAACTCCGCATCAGAACTCCAAAATCTGCGCTTCCAGAGATCTGCTGTGATGGGACCAACAAAGGGTTGCTTGGATGGTCCGTTTAAAGACACCAATCTTACTCCCCCCCAGTGCTTTGATCAACCGCTAACTTGACATGACATGTAGTTATTTAGAAATGCTTAATAGTGCGTGTTCATAGATGTTTTATGACACTTGATGATTAATTCTGGTAGTTACTAATGGTTAGTAAAGTATTTTGCGTGAGCTCATCTAAAGTGAGGACTATCTATGTCTCATTAACAATTTACAATGAAATTTAAAGCCAATAGATATTCTCTAAACATTTGTTAATAAAGTATTTCATGATTAATTCAGGTAGTTACAAAGCATTTACTAGTTGTTAATAAGTACTTTGTGTGAGCTCATCTGAAGTGAGGACTATCTATGCCTTACAAAGCATTTACAAAGGATATTTTAACACACAAGAATTAGTTATCTTCTGAACAGAAAAAGGAAACGGACACAACACAAAGGGATACAGAACATATTATTTATTACAAAATGCCTTTCACCCATTCATTCACAAAAAAACACAACAACACGAGAGACTATTGCTGCATTAACTGTACAACTGTTGATATAAAATGAACCATCTACAACCCAACCCGTTCTCACTCCCAAGTCGTCACATATGGACCAATGGTCAAGACCCCTTGTTGTCACTTTATAACCCACTTGGGAGCCCCTTAGCATCATAGTTCAACGTACTGGGGAAAGCCCTGCAGCATTGTTTTTGAATGCTAAAGACAGGTCTAGAATATTTAACACTAGTGTAGAACTTTAGCTAACTTACCAACCTAGGTTCTGAGAATTAGTGTTGGGGTAAGAAATAGACTGTGTGATTAAAGAAGAGTGGGCAGGATTATTACAGTGCCTTTAACACTCTCATAGTGCACCAACCATGTTTGAAATAATCCGCAGAATAAGAAGAGCTCTTTTATGGAACTAGACTTGTGTCTTTATTACATGCGAGAAAATAAATGATCTGAGAGAAAAAAAAAGTTTGTTGTGTTGTGCAGACCTACTCTCACACCAGTAAATAGCCTACACCACCCCTGCTTCCAACTTCTGTGTGTGTGTGCTAAATGAGTGAGTGAAATGAGCGACGGTAGCTACAGCTGTTGGATCACAAGTTAACTTGAGCATTTACCGTGGCCACAGCTGACTGCACGCTGTATTCGGGCGGAGTGTAACTCAGCCTGAACATCCAGACTGTTTCACTTACAGGCTGAATGACAAACTGTTCGTCTCACAGCAACTCGACGTCAGGTAAATAACGATACATCATACAAATGTTAACTGGCAAGCCGATGTTGGTAATGATGGCGAAGATAGCGGAATATAAAGGTGATCGATGGTACGAAGCTGTGTCACAGGTTTATCTAGGTGCGTTGCTGCAGCTAACAGCATCTCCACTTAGCGGTCCATGAACGTGAAAAATATATATTTGAGATTTTTTTTTCAGTTTTTTTTGAGAGATTTTTTTTCTCAGAAATCATTTTAAAAATTAAAAATTAATAATTTTTTATGTTCTATGAGAAAATACTTTCTCTCAAAACTTTTTTAAGTCTCAAATATTATTATTTTTTGCTATTGGTATGAAAACTTTTTCTCTCAAATATTCTTTATTCTCTCATGAAATGCTTTTTTGCTATCAGTGTGATAACTTTTTCTCTCAGATCATTTATTTTCTCACATGTAATAAAGACACAATTCTAGCTCCATACTCTTTCAGAAAAAACATTTTTTAAAAAGTGTCCAGTGTCTTTCAGTTATTTGTACCTCTACCTGGGCAGGATAATGAAGGTGTGGTGGATCTTTCTTATCTGCCAGTGTCCTGTAATCTGATGTGTCAGTCCTGTTGAATTGGATCTGAAGCAGCTGGGTGCATCATCTCTGGGACTCGCTCCCATCTGCATCTGGCGAAGAGTTGACCTCTAAGCTACAATCCAGGGTCTCAAAAACCAGTGTGCATAGTGTATAGTGGAGAATAAATCAGATAAATTATCACAGTCGGTGTTCTTCAAATAAGATCTCATCCTGTTTGTCAAAACTCAGTATCATCACCCTGTTGTCTCGGGACTCTTCTTAAGTTTTACATTGTTATAACTTACCAAAGATTTATAACTTTACCAGGTAGCATTTAAGCAAGACATCACTATTATGAATTAATTAAATTTCTCCATCTGTTAACATTACATTACATTAAATTACAACCAAAAAATACTGAACAGAGTTTACACATTTTAGTCAAGTAAATTATCTTTAACACGTAATATCAAAAATACTGTAAATAAAAATACCTCTGAAGGTACTACATGTGCTTACACATCCAAAAGTACCTCCAGAGATTACTTTGAAACCACAACACAACAAAATACTGTTGAACAGTTCACGACATTGTGTTCACAACATCCTCCGACTCCTTTAACTTACAGTAATATCGTTTTAACCCACCCATTTAAGCTAGCATCACGCTGCACTTTTAACTCTCTACTGAAGGTTACAAACTTTACTCACCGGAGTTTCCAGGGGGGAAAAAACTCCTTCGGCAAATGACGGCATTCAAAAATCCCGAGTGATGGTGTCTTTACACTTAAGACCCGCTTCTGGGCCCGTGTGATCTCGTTTTTATTAGCCCACTTCTCTCTGTTCTTCCTTGGTGCGGGTGCTAAAGTGAGCGCACACGGCAGAGACTACTGGATGCGCCAAGGGTCAGAATAGCGCTGCTTTAAGGCCCGTATTTTTTATGTGGGCTACAGTCCATGGTAAGGAGGAGACATGGTTGAGAAGGGCGGCTTGACCAGAAACCATACTTTCACTTTTTTCCTGTGTTAAACACAAAGTCAATATTGAGTTTTTTCTTCGGTTGCGTATGGAACGCAACTAACGTTCTGTTTCAAAACGTTAGTCACTAGTTTTATTTTGAAAGCGTACCCGGACGTTGCAAATTTATTGTTGCTACCCTGACCGGAAGTTACATGTTTAGTTTTGCTAACTTGACCGCCGAGACGTCCAAAAACGACACTAAAGGGGCGTTAACCCAGGCCGTAATCCAGCTGAGACCTAAAAAGACTTTTTTCAATCTCATTTGTAATGTTTTGTATGGCCTAGATAGTCCTTACTTTACAGAGAAAATACTTATTAAATAATTTCCTTAAATGTTCTATATGATCGTATGAACCATTGGTGCATATATATGGTTTTTCATTGGAATAACACTTTTTGTCAAATACAATCATTAAGCACATCATTGATGATTTCTCTCAGAGAAACGGTACCAGGCCTGTAACGGTGAGGCTTTTAGCCAGTAACGTTAGCTGGGGCATCTTTTGGGTAGTCTCAGTAGCATCCTTAGGGCTTTGCCACAGGTAGATTTAGGCATTATGCTGAGATTGTTTATATTCTTTCCAAATGATCTTAAGAACCATTAACAACTCATATATAAATGGTTTGTCATTAAAATAATACTTCATTTATAAATAGTGAACTGATCATGTATAAAGTATGAAAATACAATTATTAAGCACATTATAGATGAGCTTATTAATAAAGAATACAACATGTATAACTTTGTTTATAAATGACTTACTAATGTGTATTAATGTATGAACAATGCTTTATAAATGATGAATTCCGTATTTACTAATTACTTAACTAATGCTTTATAGTGTGTAGTTATTATAAAGTGCTACCAAAACTTGTTTTAAATTGTGTAAAATGGTGTGAAGATCAATATCAATGTGATGTGTTGAGCCTAGCGCAAAGCATGGAAGCAGGAAAATTTTAGCTTGACAGCACCAGGCACTCCACCGCTGTCTTACTTAAACATTGTATGAATTTAACATATGCAAGACTACAAAATAAGACATTGTGGCTTAAGGGACTGTTAACTTAGATACTGCAATGACAAAACATTTTTCAACATGCATTGTTTGCAGTTTACAATGATAAATCTAACAGTTTTACCACTCTTAACTTTGCAGTATTAAAAAAAATGGGTAGGCTTCTTGATTTAAAATTTTGCATGATGAAGTGAACACTTTTATTGCCAAATTTTTTCAGTTGTACCTAGCTAGCTAATTAATGTTAACTCAATGAGTTGCCTAGAAACTCTTGGCAGACTTTTTAACGTTTCTGCTGACTTGTTAGAGCCGCTGATGCTAAACTTCCATAAGGGCAGTATCATCTTAAACACACTGTTTTTATTTAGCATGTTGAGATCTTGACAGGTCTGTTGTGCCCATAGTGGTTGATACGCTCTTATTGGACAATTGCTGTTCAGGGGAGAGGTTAAGCAAATGGTCAATTGAAATCACTTTTCTCTAACTCTAAATAAGACAGAAATTAAACTAATTTTGGCAGTATATTCCTTTAATATACTTGTAGTCATTTAAAAACAGAACTACTCCAGTTGGTATGACAGCTGCTAACACATGGTAGAAGATGTTATGTATACTAAGGTGCCTATTCTGTTTTGGGGGAAGAGGGAGGGGGTTAGACTGGGGTTGCAGGGCATACCTCCACACACCTCTCCGGTGTCCTCGTCCAGACACTCGCTGTCGTCACACTCACAGAAACGTCCCGTCACCAGACCCCTGGTGTCCTCATTGTCACACACGCAGCTACCACAGTGGCAGGTGCCTATTAAAGATACCAGCTTTAGACACAGTTTAAGCATATTTGTTTGAAAAGGTCAAGTTTGTGGGGGTGTGTTTACTTTAAGACCAAGAACCCAGCTGGTTTGCAGATGTGCAATGGAGGCACTGTCTGCGCTAGACTGATGTCTGACTACTGAATGGGGTGGATGTGTGTTTGTGTGTGCTGAGGTTTTTAGAAATGCGCTATAGGGACAGAAGGCTAGAAAACTACATGCTGGGAATACATTTGCATTTTTACACACTCAAACAGCCCACATACTGTACAGCACATGCTTTCACAGACATACACACACTACAATGCAGACACACAAATACACATTCACCCTTCATTTAGCTGAGGGCATTGCGGAGCAGTGGTGAGGTTAAGCCCAGGTGGGTGAGGGGCAGTCAGTGTGTGGAAAGCAACCCCAGCCCAGACCTCACCTCACAGTGTGTGTCTTCAGAGTGCCAATGCTCAATCATGTGTCCACAGATATTAACACACAAACTGAGACTTTGTGCATCAGAAAGCGTTGGCTTGTGAGACTTAACACCAAATTGAATTATCAACACTTACTTACAGTAGTGTTAACTGGAAATGTCAGTCTTCCCAGTGATGCTCATTCATACATGAATTTATCAATGTACCTGTGTTAGTGAAAGAGAGATTGTTTATACTGATAAATATGTGTGAGAGCAAAGTAGAGCACAAGTATCAGCCTTAACTTTCAAGGTGTAACAAATGGTTTTATTATGGTTAATAAATATTTAATTAATGTTTGGTCATTTGTGAGTTATTAACAAAGACCAAGTAATACAAACTTATAAACTGCAGACTTCCTTTCTTGTTAGAAAATGTGTAAGGCATTATCAAACAAATCATGAGTTTTTGACTTAAATAAGAAATCAGATTAGAAATCAGAATTGTGTCTTTACTAATGGCTTATTCTATAAAGAATTTAGCTTTATAAGAGCCATTTGTTTAAGCTGTTAGTTGCAACGTTTAAACATTTTATAAAGAATGTTTTATGAGAACGTGTTACCAAAAGTAAAATACTAAAAATGCAAATGTGTGGAATTGCTGTGTGTATGTTTTATTTCTTATGGAAATATCCAATGCTGGTTATTTGTTTGATGCTGGTTTTTGTTAATGTTTAGGTGTATTTTCTTGCAACTGTGTATAATTAAGACTCATTGTGTGTATATGTGCCTGTGTGTGTGTGTGGTCACACTACCTCTGTTGGAGCAGACAACCCCCTGTGTATTTTTGCAGAGCTCTTTGCTCTTCTTCTTGGGTAGGTTACACTCCTCTTGGTACTGGCAGGTATCTCCGAGCCAGCCTTCATCACACTCACACGTCCCACAGTCACAGTAGCCACGGTCTAAAGGGAAACACAACACACATGCTGTTTATCAATGCTGAATAGCATGCTTCTGATGCACCATTGCTGATGCTTCATATCACTTTCTATCTTAGATGGATATGATTGCACTGCCCAACCAGGAGAATGAATTAGGGTTATAGGATTTTAGTTTAGGATTCGTCACTCCCTTGACTTCTATTACTGTAACAGACCCATTGTACTCCCAAGTGACTTTATTTTAATGGCTGTGAAATATCATATAATTTCTTACATACATGTACATCTAGTAGGTGAGGAAGTAGGCTGTACCATATATATTTTATATTTGTAAGTCATATTTACAATACAACCCTTTTTGTTAAAAATGTCAGAATGATATACTAGCTTCCCCATCAGTCACTCAGGAGGCATTACCTTGTTCAGTGTTCAGAGGATCTACACAGGCAGTATGGCGTCACTATTTCTCATCATTCTGATGGCTGTAGTGAGCAATATGAAATACAGGAGGAATCATTTGATGCAAATGAAGGCAGTTGACAAGTTATTATAAATGTTGCTCCCAATGCATTTAGCAGCAAGGGGCCTTGTATGTCACACTCAATCATTCTCCCTACTTGTTCATCATGTAAATGTGGTGTCCTTTTCAAGGGCTATCCATCAGTCATTAATGACAGGCGAGTCCCCTGTCTCCCCTCATTATCAATATGTCTCCAGGGACACTTGGGAATAGGTTCAAGGACAAGAAGAATATGGTCAGTGCACATTAGAGAATGCTGCACCACATAGTCAATAAAATTATAAGTAAAAAAATTTATTTGCAAGCTTCTATGTATTTGTTGTCTTACAAACTGTAAAAGTTGAGAGGCTTGCTGACTGTCTCAATAGTGTAAATCTTACTGTGACTGCATCTCTGGACAATTTTAAAATCATTTTAAACTTATTTTCTGCCTGCACCAGCTGTGTTATCTCATCCAGACTTAATGTCCCTCTCTTGGTGCTGAGATTGTCAAACTGTTAGCATATTAAAGTGCATAAATAGTCATGCACATGAAAGCCAAAGTTGTTTTTCCAGTATTTAGTGATTTTTAAATTGCGGTCACATTTAAAAAATACACTGGCCACAGCCATTGTACATTGGATACAATTTTATTGCTTTGTGGTTACTGTTTGATTTTTCAGGACACTGTCAACACAGACTTATGGAGATAATCTAAATGAGATTATAAATGTGGACAAATCCTTTTGGTTTTATTATTAAATTTTGCAGATGGGAAATAGCACACAGCAGCTGCAAAACTGAATTAGATTAAATTCTCTCCAACTTAATTCACTTAATATACAAAGTTACAGCCACCCACTAGTCCCCATTAATCTCTGCTTGACAATCACTCTGACATATAAAACTGCTCCTTTATCTGCTGGTGAAAGTTTACGCGTGTGGGAAGGTACCTGTCTATTGACAGTTTATCTTTCCTGGTGCTTCCTGAGCAGTAATTCTCTGCGGCTTGGGGGTGTCAGGGTCCTTCCCACACTCCACCAACATGCACAGCTAATCAGGGTCCAACCGGTGTCCAGATACATCCAATGGCGGTCAGAAAGAGAGGGTGCACCTGTGCCAACTGGCAGTAATAACAGGTGATGTAGCGTCACCATGATTCACTGTTGATGAGGAGAGGATGGTGACTCATGCAACAAGCTAATTTCAAGTTTAGAATTGAACTTGTTCCTTCTTTTAATAATATTAAATGATAGGTTTGTATGGAACATAATAATTCAAGAATTTTGAGTGATTACTGGTTAAAATATATATTGTATATACCAAAAGTAATTTCCTCTTTGTCAGCAGAAAATTATAGCACTTACATTTGAGGCAATCTTGGGGCTATTTTGAGATTCCAGTGCAGTTTCAATTATAAGCAACACTATAATGCAAGACATGCATTACATATTGCAAGTCTAAAAAAAACCTGAGCCCGTGCCCATGTATTACTTGCACTTGATTATTCGTCTCCAAATTACACTTCCCCATTTACTTTATTCAGATCATGTTCTCCATAACATGAGACACATTTCAGTGAGTGATTATTCCTCCTGATTATTCCTCCTGCTTTCCTCTCCCTGTAGGTTGCGGAGTGTGCAACGGCAGCACGTCAGCTCTTGTTCTATGGAAAAGATCTAGGAAACACCTGTCTCAGGTAATAAATCATTATCTGTGTGTGCTGCCCTCACAACAAGCAACTCCTGATTAACTCCTCCTTTATCCTCCACAAGTTCACAATTATCCACCTAGGCATTCAATACATTATAATTGTGTAATACCTCTGAAGGCTTTTTCTCCCAGTATGAATACAACAATGTAAAAACACTTGTCCCTACAGCATGAAATATTTCGGAGCTGCAAAGGGTCCCAATCAAAATTGCCTTTTACTAGTAGACTTGAGAGGCTTTTTCTCCTTGCAGCCCGCACTGGAATCATTAGGTGACTCACCACACAGGCATACTGCCCAACAAAGCTCAGAATATTTAAGTAAAAAAACAAAACAGAGAAGAACAATTTAATGGGCTGCAATGGCTCAAGGGCTGCATTCCACTGTAGGTCCCTATTTTAGTTTTTTCCCCTCTATCTTTGGGAAATCAACACAAATTATTTATTGAATCTGTTAGTCACTTTGGACAGACTGCCATTAGTGAGTTGTTCTCCAGTGATTAGTTTATATATATCTATCTAGAATGTGTCCATATTGGAAGCAACATCATAGGCTCATGTAATACTGGCGTGTATCTGGAGTAGCTTGATTTGGAACAGCACTGGACAAACTGACTTCTGCTGACATGAAACCCCCATTGGATGGGATCTTCTCTGGCTCTGGCAGGGGGCACAGAGGCTGGGGGCTCAGCCAGGGAAAGAACAGACGCTCTAAACCTATAGCCTGAGAGAGAGGAAGATGTAGAGAAGCTGAAATTTATTCTTACAGAACCCCACAACAACCATTTTTCGCTATCATGCCTGCCCATTTTTTATTTATTTATTTTTTTAATTTAACCTTTGTTTTACCAGGAAAGAAATCCATTGAGATTTTTAATCTCTTTTACAAGGATGTCCTGGCCAATTTCAACTGCTCCTATGAGATGAGGCAGAGAAGGACTAAACATATGAAGAAGTCTGCCAGCATCATAAAGTTACAGATTGTTCTGGATTGCAGACATACTCAGCTTTCTGCCTCAATCCACAACAGTGGCTGGGGGGATGGTAGATGTTACCGGAGATGCAGAGAGAACTATTGACCCATGTTTGATAACACATTTAGTGTGCTACTGAAGTGTTGTTGTATCAAGAGTATTTGATAATGAAAACCTCAAATAAATAAATTCATTTTTGATATAATGTTCTAATGCTGGAAAAGACCATAAATTGCAGAGAAGCACAGCCAGTCTGAACACACACCAGAGGAAAACACTTTGGTTCAGCACAGGCAGGGAGAGAGAGAGTGTGAGAGAGAGAGAGAGAGAGAGAGAGAGAGAGAGAGAGAGAGAGAGAGAGAGAGAGAGAGAGACTTCACGTGGCTCATCAATGGGGGAAAAAAGAGGGAACGCTATGAAAGAGAGAATGGAAACATTGACACGTTGTCATTACAGAAATTACATGAATATAAAATAACCTCAAATGTTTGATTTGTTCATTCAAACACTCAAAAACAGGGTTAAATGATATATTTGAATATTATCCGAGGTTATGTTTGTCATGTCCTGTAGCTAATTTTTTTTTAAATGGGACATGGGAGACAAAACAGGAAGATTTAAACACAGCGGCATGAAATGAATGGAAGGTTTTGCACAGTTGGTGAACAGATGTTATTTCAGGTCATCATCCCGTTGCTCTGCTACAATATGGGATGTACCAGAGGGAGGGAAAACATGTGAGTGACAGCATCAGTGCTCTGGACGAATCCTAGAAATTCAAAACCAACTCCTCTAATACTACAACTCCAATGTTACTTCTAATTTTACTAATGCCTATCACAAATATGTTCCATTATATTGTGAAGGAACTGATGTATTTTCAGATTTATCATGGAACATTCTATGGTACAAATTACTGTATGTGCAATAACACATGTTAACACCTATTTTTTCTGTCCGTGGATCAAGTAGTATACCATGGTACTGGGCATACTATAAAAAATTAACAGGGTATGACCCAGAATAGTTTTACCATCCTGCTGCCCAATCAATTCAAAGCACCACTTTGTATTAGTCCCATCATCCACACAAAGATTAATGACATGGAAGAAGCAGCTGCTGGATTCTGAAGGATAATTTACTAGTGTAAATTACCATTTGAAAGTTTGATATCCTTGATCTTTCTTAACATAGAAAGACATAAGCCTTCTAAATAAGGTCTACTATTTCTAATATTACAAACAGGGACGTTTCAGTATATGAACTACAGCCATAAGTTTCTATAGTGCCTCCATCCCAGCATGCATTGGGCAAAAACACTCTGGGTAGTTTACCATATTCATCTGTATACATAGACACATAAATGTAGAGCTTCCAGTTCAGTTGACTTGCGTGTCTAATGACTGCACGCAAAGGACACTCACACAACAAAAGGAAAGGCCATGCAAACTCACCACAAAAAGGAACATGATCTCGTTTCAAACCAGCACATTCTTGTGCTGCGGTGACATATAGTACTATGCAGGCCTACACAGTTGAAAAAATAAAATAGATCTTATTTGACCAATATAAGATGATAGACAACCACGCTGACATTTCAACCTAGATTTAAAAATTATTATTAATAGACCTAAAACATATCATCCCCAGCGTCTTCATCTAGCTTGACTTGTTGCTCTGATTCAGAGGATCTGAATTAGCCCATCTTTGCTGGATGAATGCCATCCAAGGTAATAAATAAATAAATAAATAAATAAATAACATCTCAGTGCCAGGAAAGCTAATGTTTTTGGAAAGGAAAAACACACAGTTTATCCCTGAGGAGAAAAATCTATTGG